TAGCAGCTCATAAACTCTATATGAACCACTCACTTAAAGAAAATGGCCATTTAGAGATTCTTCCTCCTCCAAACTTCTAAAACTCTTTAGTCCCCTTGGAAGAAAATCAGCTAAGAGAAACAGATTCAAAAAGATCCAGGGGAGGTAGTATGGATGACCTAACCAGCTAGACTTTTTGAAAACTAATCATTACATGTACAAACTTAGCTTGGTGCAAAACAGTAAATAAAAATCAACCTACATTATCTGATTTTATAGCATTTCCATTTATGTCTCTCAGAGACAAAGCTAGAAGAGGAACCTAAGAAAATCCACCTGATGGTGGAGTCCACAAAATTTAAATTATAATTGCCTTGGGAGCCTTCGGCCATAGGCACCACTTCACAGATGAGAAAAGGAAGCCTACTGAGTGGGTAAGTGTTCTTCCTAGATCTCACAAGAGCAAGGAGCAGAACTGGGATTAAAAACTCAGGCTTCCACTTTCAGAAACCAAGCTCTTCACTCTACCGCCATGTGACCTGAATAATAATTTAGCTCAAACCTTAAATTCTGCAGAAATGGTTGCAATCCTAGCCATCCAGGTATACATTGGAAGCTATCTAAGGAAAGTGTCATATCCAAAACCTAAGCATGAAGACTAAAGCACACGATGAATAGGAAAATTATCCAGTGTCAATAGTGTTGTTGAAGGAATCCTCTAACATGTGCAGGAGTTTTTTCCTAGGGAAAAAGAAGTCTAAGATCTGTTCACTTTCTAAGACCAGTAATCCTCAAGTGTTACATCAAAAGCTATATGAAACAGCTGTTACATCAAAAAAACGTAGAAAACTCAAGACAAAAATTAAAAGTTCACTTCATTTTCAAAGCTGTTAAATTAGTATTTACTGATATCCAGGCGCAAAGATTGCAAAGGAATAGTGAAATTTCACTAGCTGGAGGAACCCACTCATTTGTTACATGCCGCATCCATCCCTATCCCAAGCCCCTTTATAAGAGTCCTCCTAACAGTCAGGGCAATTGTATTAAGAGTGTCATTCTCCTTTTAGGGGTCATAAGTTACTTTACAATTAGGAATTATGGCTAACATTTTGAGTACTAGAGTAAGACACTGTTCTAAAAGTTTTACACCCAGCAAAACATTTACTAGCACAGAGAGGTTAAATAATTTATCCAAAAGTCATTCAGCAAATAAGTGGCAAAACCAAGATGACACACTGAAGGTCAGCAAGGCAACTTGCTCCAGGGCCACCCAGCTGCCAGCTATGAGCCCTCAGCCCAGCACAGGTGGCCTGCTGATGCGCCTTCCACTGTAGACACCTGCCTGGTCCCATATCATTCACGGGGCCCAGGCAGTGAAGAAGCCAAAAATCAACCCACAACCACAGTTCTTCAAAAGAAGAAACTAAAACCTAAATAAAAATTCTCTACATCATGAAATACTGTCTCACTGTTTTCTGAAAAAGCAGACTCTGAGCAACAAACATGTCTACAAGCTACTGGATTAAAACCATTTTTACTTATTAGAAGCTTAAGTCTAAGTATGAGCTACATGATCACATCTAAAAATGTCAGAAATCAGTCTTTAGGCTGGGCTTATTCGCAAGTCCTCTACAATCAACCAAGATTTACACTGAATTTGTCCTTGATTGAAACTTTTACCTCTTGTTAACTCTACTAAGCCTTCCTCCTTTTGGATTTGCAGCCGTGAAAAAATATCTATTTGAGTTACTGAAACTGCATATGAAATTTTGCATATTTGGATTCCTACAAATGTCTTTTAATCCCACTTTGGAAAAGTTACCATACATGAATGCAGCAAAATAAAGCACTTCCTACCTCCTAGCCTGCCAATTCCCACACTAAATTCATTCCTCAGAAAATGTGGCGGTGGCAGCAGCCCGGACCACTTCTAAGGGCTCCTGAGCTGCCCCTCAGGATGCCGTGGCTCACTGGGCTCATTTCCTTGTGTCCCTCTTTAATCAAAACACTTGAGGAAGTGAGTCAAAATCCTAGGGTGACTTCTAACGGCTGTCAACAACAGCGGCAAAATTCATCACCGCAACATCTGTACATAAATGTACTACAAGGGAAGCCCACAAAATACTTGGCACTTTTCTGATGAGAAGTTCTTTGGGGAAAGGCAGGTGGGAATTTGTCATTTTGTCTCCTCATGCTTATCCAGCGTCAACAGCTAGCGGTATCTACCGCTACTGGGGGCTTTCTTTTTCAATATTATGCACAAGTCTACAATGCCAAGGCGGTTTTTCTTTTTCAGTGTGGGGGATGGATTTCAACTGACTTGCACCACTATTGTGGAGATAGCTTATCTCCCTCTCTAGGGACCCTAACACCTAAAGTCCTCATACAGCGGGCCAGATGCCTGCCTTCCCCAGCTATCAAGGAATGAACCCTTTCTCAGTACGTATTTCCCTAAATTGACAACACTCTTAACTCAAATGCCATAAAACAAGCAATCCCAGGTCCCTTTCACAGCAACTGACCATCCTGTAGGCACACACTCAACATTTCTAACTGAGCATCACTTTACAACAGATTCTGGTGAGCCCTATAAAAGGATACACAGGTGGGCACATGCAGCTGAGCTCAGTCTCCCCCACTGATTATCTTGGGCAAGTGACTTAGCCACATTCTCCAGTTTATAGCAGCCTTAGTAATAGTCTTCCTGGACTTAGAAGAATAGGAAATAACAGGTAAAGGCCTCAGTACAGAGCCTAGCACACAGTTTCCAACTGAGCCAGGACTAAACACAACCTACATGTACTATATATGAAATTTAAAGCATGTTAGAAAGCTCATCGCTAAAGTCCAGCGTACATGACTTATAAAGTCATAAGAAAAAGTGTGGAAAAGCCCACATAGTTATCTGGGAATCCTTACAAAAGGATCTTGTTATTCCCAGCAGAATAATAATCCAGAAAGCCCTGCACCAGGTGCTGAGGCCCCCAATCTCACACCTGCAGGAACAGGAGGAAGAAGGCATGATTCAGTGTTCATGGTGGTTCATCCTGTTGGTCCCTGCTATAACCGCTGAGGGTGCCAGAGGAGGTGATGACAGAACAGGAACCTCATACCCCTTAGAGAGCAATGCTTAGCAAGGGGCAGGGCAGTAGGATGCTCCCAGGTACCACCTGACAGGGGTCAGGAAAGGAACTGAAAAAGTGCCGGGTCTCCACCCAGAAGGCTGGAGGGGCATTCTGGACAGGAAGGGTGCTTCCTGACTTCCAATGCCCTGAAGTCCACTCTTGAGGAAACTGGACTCCCGAGAATCGACATGACCTGCCCAAGGGCACACACAACCAGCGTAAGTCAGAGAAAAGGAATCAAGAATCCCAGGGGCAAAAGAAGGATCTGTTACTACACCACTATGACAGATCTACAATCCTTTTGCCAATAAGCTATTGGACAGAGCAGGCTAATCATGAGGGCAGGGGACTATTCATTTAATGAAATGTAAAAAGACAAAGCAGAAAAGATAAAGACTATAGGGGTCATTTAAGCTAAGGCTTCCAGCTGGTGACCCTGTGACCCCTCCTGCTCGGGTGCAAGGGTCCAGATGCGAAGCCTCTTCCCCAAGCTTAATAGTGGGGAGGGGTGTTGGGTCTTGAGACTTCCCGGAGAAACCGGCCAGTCGTCTCGCAACAGATCACTATGACACTGGCTTTCTTTCCAGTACTGGATACCTCTGTAGACTCACTTTCTGTCGTTACACCATTAGGGTAATCTAAACGTTTTTGCTTTTGAATGACCCGAGAAAGAAAAGTGCTTGGGGACTGGCCAGGCACGCACACCAGCGACACCTGGACAAAAGGGAAGAGAGGCAGGAATGTGACTCAGGGGCTCCCTGAGCCTGCAGCTTCCTCTGTTCCTTGAGACCTGAGTTCCCGCGCCCATATAACTGGATTTTCCTAAGAACCTACTGAGGGCTGCCGTAAGTTCCATTCCATCTTCCACACCTCACCTCAGGCAGCCCCGAGTGTAGATACCACGTGGGAGGAGGTTCCAGACTCCCAAAATTCCCGACGAAAATAGTCACCTGCGATTACAGGTCGCAGACCCAGGGACACGGGCTTCCAGAGTCCTGGCAGTGTCTTCGGGCACTGTAGCCGGGCACGCGAGGTGGCCGGGTGGGGGACCGCAGCGTCCCAGCGCCGCTGTGCCTGCCTCAGCGGAACAGCAGCCTCCAGCCGCTCCCGGCGCGTGGCAGCAAGCGAACGGCAGGCTGCGGAGAGGGGCGAGCCCTCAGCACCGGATTTACAAAAAGCACAAAGTCTGCAACCTAGCGGCTGCTTGCTACACGCCCTGCTCAAGTTGCTCGTGCCGCCGTCACCTCCAAGCTCGCGGGGTCCCAACCCAGAGCCGCACGCCGCGTGCTACCAGTGCAACAGCACCACCGGCGTGGGGAAGCGCGGCCCCCTCGGACCCTTCTCCACCGGTGGCGCCGCGCGCGGGCAGGGGCAACATCAGCTCGGTCCCAAGCCGCCCCGCGCACAAAGACCGCCTGCGGTTGAAAGGCAACCGCTGCAGAGGGAAGAAAAGGCTTTCCAACTTTGCCCTCGTCGCCTCCGAGGTCCTGCGGGTCGGTCCTCCCTTGCGCAGGTCACACACACGCAACTTTTAACAAAAGGAAGCTGCGGCCGCGCCTCGCTCGGCGAGATAATGCGCTCGGTGCGAACCCCGAGCCGCCCGCCTCGACCAGCCGCGCAGTCGGCACAAAAGCAGCCTCAAACTCCCCCACAGTCTGCAGCCTCGTTCGTGCCGAAAGTCCCCTCGCTGTCCCTATTCAATGAAAACCCCAGGCTCTGCGTCCCCTGCCACCAGAGGCTGGGGTCTCCTAGCGCAGGTGAGCGAGGCTGGGCGCAGGAGTCTCGGAGCAGCCTGGAATCTTCCCAGAGGCTGGAGTGCACCACAGCCCTTCTCGGGACGCACCCTGGCGGCTTCAAGCCTCCGCGGCGGCCCGGGTACCCGTCGCACCCTCTCACCTGGTCGGACGCGGAGCAGGAGGTGCAGGACGCAGAGGAAATCCCAGGCGCCGCGAGCGCCTCTCATCGCGGTGGCTGCGCTGGCTGCGGAGCTCTGCTCCACGTTGCAGCTCTCGCCCAAGTGCACAGAGCGCGGCAAAGCCGAGCCCCCAGAGCGCGAGCGCCGAGCGCCGCGCGGCCGCCCCTCCTCCAGCGCCCTCCCCTCGCGCCGGCCACGCCCCTCCCGGCGCCCCTCCTCGCCTGCCCTCACTCGCTCCCTCCCCTCGGCGTCCGGCCGGGGCCTCGGACTTGCGGATCCCGCCGGGCTGAACCCGCCCAGAGGGGGCAGGACCCGCGGGCCCTCTCGGGTCGCTGTAGACCCCGGAGCCTCTTTGCTCTGTGTCCCCTCCCGGGTGATGTGGTCGGCTCCTGGCCGAGGGCGGTGCTGCTCGCACGCTTTGTGAAGCCACGCAGCACGAGCAGTGGGGCACCAGCCCGCCGCCTGGCAGGTGCTCCCCAGGTAACAAAACTCGGCCGCCGCTCGGGGACCGTGCTCGGACTGGAGGAGGCTGGACGCCTGGGGGCTGCAGTGGCGCTGCCCGCAATTGGAGGGCGCGGGGGTTAGGCAAGGGCCCCAACATCCCTCCCTTTTCTGATAGTCGAGGGGCGCCCATGGGGGTGCCTGGCACCTCTGCAAAAGGCTGGGCCGGGGTTTAGGTATTTTTTCTCACCTGCTGCGTAACGTGTAGAACACAGTTGATATCCGTGGTTCTGGTGGCCTCCGCCCACCCATGTCTACTGAGACTTTTCTGGAGAGGTAGGCAGCAGTGAGGAGGGGTGGCTTGTGACGTTTGCTCTGGGACCCTGGTGTAAGCCCACTCGCTTCTGGGACCCTTGCAGTTTTCCTTCTTTTCCTCCTTCCTTCGTTTCTTTTATGTATTTATTTTTTTCTTTTCTTCTTTTTTTTCTTTCCTGTTTCTCTGTCTCCGTTTTACACTGCATTTGTGGAGCTGGGGATCCTGAGGTCCTTTAGGCTGCCTAGGCCAAGAGCAAAATAAAAGTAAAATTTCTTTCGGCCAGACTCCGCAGCCTAGGATATGTTCCCTCCACTTGCTCTCGGTGGCCGTCTTTGACTCACCCTACCTGTCTGTGTAGGATGTTGTGGTTCTTCTTATCCTGTCATTGCATCCTCAGTGGCAGCTTTGTGCATCCGTATTTATTCCCGTAGTGGCCTGCCAAACACCAGTTACAATGGGGAGGCCCAGAGGTTGAGCCCTTGTTTTAAGACCTAGTATGTCAAGCATTCTCTATACATTCTAATAAACCAATAAAAAATGCCTCCAGAGAGGTTGAGGATGAAACTACAAGGGAAATATCCATTAGGAAAAAAAAAAAGAACACAGAATGATTTTAAGATACATCCAAAATATGTAATATCCCAACTCTCCTGCTCTGTTTAATATTGAATTCTAAGACTCCTAAGCAGGATTAAGAAAACTAATTTGAAAGGTAATTACAAAAAACTTGTGGGTACTAGAGGATGGTCTAATGATCATTGTGTTTTACTGCCTATCTTTAAATTTGTTCATTTCACTTATTCTTTCAACATCCTTTTTTTTTTTTTTTTTTTTTTCTACAACCAGGGATTGAACTCAGGCCCTTGTGCTTGCCAGGTCAACATCCATTTTCAAAGCTGTTGTTAATACACAGACGTGGACCCTGCTCTCTCAGACCTTATGGGAGCCTACCCTGAAATGTGCTAGCAAAGGGTCCAAGTTGCACAGCTCTGTGGGAGGGTGTCATCAGGCATATTGATTGTGTGTATGTGTGTGTGTGTGTGTGTGTGTGTGTTACTGGGAATTGAACTCAGGACCTTCAAACTGAGCCATATCCCTCCTTTTTAAATTTTCCAACAAGGTCTCACTAAGTCACCCAGGCTGGGCTGAAACATTCGATCCTGCTATCTCACAGGCTTGGCTATCATTCATGTTTCTCAGGATAACAGAGTAAAAGATACCATTCAAAGCAATCACAGGTTTCTAGGTTCTTGATTTATTTCTAAAATCAATTTTGTAGTGAGGAAAAAAGTCACTATGAGTTAAAATATCAACATTACGCCGGAGAGAGAAAAATTACAATTTTCTTCTTCAATCAACTGTTATTGGAGAGGCTAGCGTATTCAGAAGAGTGGGTGAAAAGAGACCATATTGCAATTTGATTCCAGGCAAGAAACTTCTATCAGGATAAAAGGAAAAAAGGAATAGGGAGTTATGCAATGCTGGACTGTTGTTCTTGTTTGTTAGTCCACAAACATTTGTTAAGCATCCTAGTAGGCACCAAGACCAGCAAAAATAAAACAAAGTTCCAGACTAGGGGAATCCACAACACAATGACAAAAACACACACCCAAACAAGAAACATGTATCTACTAACAGCTCTCGTTCAGCCAGTGAACACCAACTCACCCATATTGACTGGTAGAATATTGAAATCTTTCTGTACTGATTTAAAAAAAAAAACACCCCCCCAAGTATCTCTTAAGTCTCCTCTACCCTAACCCACTCTTGAGACACCTGAAGCCTCCTTAGATCCAGCACTTACTGATTCAGTGCCAAACACAGCAGAGAGCCTGTAGTACTTGGGCTGTTCAGGTTGTTAAGAATTTTTAATAACACCCCCTGCTTGGTCTGTAGTGAAACAAGGTACATATAACATGCTGTTCGTGAAGGGCTCTGGGAATGAACCATAAACAGATCAGCACTGTCCAACACAACATTTGCAATTCTGGAGGTATTTTATATCTCAAGTAGGATGTTGGGATGAGTTCTATCCTGTGTTCTATAATAACCTCTTGACTCATCAATTACGCTTTATATATTTTTTCATGAGCTTAGTGAAAACAATTATGCAAATTGTACAAACACAGTTCAAACCAATGAAGCAAGTAAAGAAACTTAGAGTTTGTAGGCTCTTATAACTGGAAAACTGGGAGTGATGTGTTTCAGCCTTTCCTGGATGTAAGGGCTCAAAGTCATCAGGAGCGAAGAGGGATGTGGCCCACAGTGTGTGTCTGTGTGTGATAGGACTTTTCTTCCTCTCTGTCCGTCACCAATATTTTCTTTCCTCTGCTGCTTTGCTGTCCTCATGTGCATTCCAGCGACTCTGGGCTTACAGCTTATTGGTGCCAAGGGAAGCAGAACTTCCTTGCCCCCATGAATATCTCCTGAAGAAGGTCTATAGCTGTAGGGTAGGGTGGTGCATGCCTGTGATCCCAGCACTTAGGAGGCTGAAGCAGGAGGATCTCTGAGACTTCAAGACCAACCTGGGCTGCACAGTGAGTTCAAGGCTAGCCTAGGCTACACAGCAAGATCTTGTCTCAGAAAAACAAAACAAAGCAAAGCAAAATGCTATGACACATAAAGTATAATGATGGTACAATATTTAATTGAATATATGTATCATAATTCTGGATCTTAATAATTTCTCTACTTTTTCTTTTTTTTCACAGAACAAAACTAAATTTAATCCAAATTAGGTGCAGCATTTTCTGGGTAGGACACTTTTTCAGATTGTCTTACTAGGTAATTCAGGCCAGCTGGAACTCATTCTTTTAGAGGGGTAACAAAATCTCATTATGTAGTTCAGGGTGGTCTTGAACTCCCTTTGTAGCCTCACTTTGTAGTCTTGAACTCACTTTGTAGCCAGAGTCTCATTTTGTAGTTTAGGCTGGTCTCGAACTCTTGTTGATCTGTCTTAGTCTCCTCAAGGCTAGAATTATAGGCATATGCCAATATGTGTGGCTTTTCTGCATTTTTAATGTTTATAGATTACTTGGTATGTGCACATATGTAAATCCTGGCACTTGGGAAGCTAAGGCAGAAAGATTGGAAGCTCAAGACTAGCCCAAGCAACAAAGGTACTAAAAAAAAGTGTGTAATAGTGCGTGCCTATAATCGCAGCACTCAAGAGGCTGAGGGAGGAGAATCACCTTGAGTTCAGTCCATCCTGGGTTACACAGTGAGTTCAAGACCAGCCTGAAGTACATAGTGAAACCCTGTCTCAAAATCAATCCATCCATCCATCCATCCATCTCTGTATACTGTAGGAAGGGCCAGGGACTGAGCAACCAGCTTAGACAGAGGAGTCTGGTGCCTGACCCATCCCCCTATAGGGTGGAAAACCCTCAGGACCAGGGAACTAGTTCAGCGAACTAGCTCAGCCAGAGGAACCCAGGGTAAATCCACTCTAACAAGGGGAAACACTTTGCATACAAACTCTTAATTTATGATTTATTCTGTTACATAACTATAGAATTTGCTCCTATAGTCTAAAGTACAAGATTAATAGTTACCACAGTTTCTCAATTTCTCAGTTTTGCTTCATGCTATCAGTATTAACTGTACCATGGTAGCTAAGGTGTCATATCTGTTGTAATCACTTGTTCTCCCTTGGATAACAATATTGGGAAGAACTGGGGTGATAACCAGAGCCCTACACCTACCTAAAGACTAAGAGCACAGCCAAACAGAAACCCATATCCCATTCACAATTATGTGAGAAGGTAGGATCTTGGGATAGACACAAACCAAGAATCTCTCATATGCAGAAGCTATCCCAAAGAATGGACTTTTCCTAGAGAGGCTTTGATACTAGTGATATAGCTACCCACTACCAAAACTGACAAGGATCATCACAGAAAACAGAATAAATTTTTTTTCAAATATAAAATGTCAAGAAAAAGGATTAAAATGTAATCTCAGACCTCCAGCTTACCCAGTACAAATCCAGAAGACATCAACATAGAACTTGGAAATTATAGACTTGAACTTGCTGAAATGCTAGCAGCTGAAGTACAGAAAAAGCTCCAGGAGGCTATAGAGGAAATCAGATCAGAAATAGTCTCTCAAGTAAAAAAAGAAATGACAACCATAAAGATAGAATTTCTGAGCATATCTAAAGAAGTAATAATAATAATGATAGTAATAATAATAATAAAGATGAGCAAAAAAATGATGGAAACCTTGAATGAACATTATAGGAAAGAATTAGAATGCATGAAACAGATTCAAAGATAAATCCAAGAAATTAAAAATTCTATTCAAAGCTGGTAAAACAACTTGATTGAAACTAAGGATAGATTTTCAGTCTTTGACTATGATTCAGATTGAGGGAGCT